AGAAACAGGTTCAATTTAGATTTCAGGACTCCATTTCCAAATTTTTGATAGAATTATTCATATGAGGAGAACATGAAAAAACACATTAACAATATTTCATAGAGACAGAAATAAAAATTCATACTCAAAGCAGTGAAAAAAGCTCATTTTATTTAAATGGACTACAAGGAACATATAGTTTTTGGCTAATTGAAAACTGCGCTAACATATCAGTTTCTTCCTTTGTGCAATGTTCTCCATTCATTACGTTTTGGTGATGACTGCTTGCTAAACCTCTCTTTACATCTCCCTGCCTTTATGAACCATCAGCTTTGTATGAACACCTGTCTCATGAAAAAATAACATCAACTGATTAGGAAGTCCTAAAACATCAATCTTACGAGATACACATGTTACATTATCTAGCTTTTACTCTGTCAAATTGTGTATGAATTTACTTTTGCATGTAGCCTTCTTCATTTCACTGGGACAGCAATAAATTGGGTCATAAGTTGGTATTATGGATATGCAGACTGCTACGAGGGGGGGGACTTTCTAATTAGGTAGAAAGTATTTGTTGCTTCTTTTCATTCTGTGACTACAGTTTTTGTTGAAATTAGCATCGTGGACAATTATTGCTCCTTTGTAGCCATGTGGAGCATAGATAAATTCTCTAATCCTGGTATCTGTGGGAAATAGTTCCTTATTTTTGTCTGTTATAACCAGCTTGCTGGAAAAAAAAGTAAATATTATAAGCACAGCATTTTTGTCACAGAATGAATAACTGATTTGAAAACTAAAGTTGCACTTTGTAAATTATTTTGTCCAAAGGTCTCTTTTCAAAATAGTTTCAGCTGCTGTTGCACTCCTTCATTTTGCTAATAGTTACTTACTGACATTTTGCTTCTTATACTTCTGTCATATGCAACATGAATGAAAAAACATTGAAACTGCTATCAAATGCAATATTACAAGCATCAAAATGATAACATTGCTATGTGTCTATTTGTTAAGGATATGAGATCACATTAAATTAGAACAATATCAGGACATCCAAGAGAGTGCAGCGCTGTTCTTAGTTTGTAATGAGAATGTTGCTCAAACATACACATTATGTTCATTTGAATTACATGTCATATTCCCTCTTATTAAGAATATTTCAAACACACATCACCACTATTTGCAAGATCCACTTTACAGTCTTAATTCTATAACAGGATGTTGGTGAGTAGTTTTGATTCTGTTGAGGTATTCTGATTTAATCAACAGAATCTTTTTTTAGATATTTGAAGTTTAACTATACATAAAATGAAAGAGCAGCTGTGTATCCCACTGTTAGAATTACTGAACATTTTGATATTAAGGAATAAATTAAGAAAGATTCTTTAGAAAACATTTAGAGCATATATATGTTAGAGAGTCATGTTTTTTAAAAGGTTAAACTAATGGGACGTAAACACATTTACATTCAAACCTGAAAAATATGCTTAATTTGATTTTTTATAAATGTGCTTATTTTTTGTACATTTAAGTAAAAAGCTGGCACATATAAGATTTCATTCTTAAACCTGGTTTTAGAAGTATTGCATATAGACCAATGACTGCCTTAAATATAATTATTATAATCTAATCTAAGTCTGTACATTTCCCCTTTCTCTTATGCCTGGAAAAGATGCTACAACTATTTCTATTCTATTCTATTTTATAACAAGCAACGTTGTAGATTCTTTTGGTGTGTGTATATCTATATCTACAGTATATCTACATCTACATCTACTGTATATCTATATCTATATCATCTATATCTATATGCATCATCTACATCTAGAGAGAGATCCTGACACCAATGCTTAATTAAAACTACTACATTTCTGTGTCTGTGCCTTCTTCATAGGTCTTCTCTAAATTTGGCTATAAGTGATGGCTTTCTCTGTGTAAGATTTTGGATCTTATTACTGGTCCTGTGATATATACAATTTTTGAAGTACAAAGGATTTTCTGATTGAATTTTGTATTTGTGTATATTTATAGGCATTACTAAAAAGTCATCACACATTTCAATTAGTCTAATCTAACAGGGATGACGGATTTTGAGGTCAAATAATTCATCAAGACAGGTCATTGAAAGTATGTATGTGCTTGTCTTCCTAGTATTTTATGGCTTGCGCATACACTTTATTCAAATAAGGTTGCAGTAAATAAGATGAACATATATACTGCTAAATTGTTAATTTATTGATATTTCAACCCTAAATGTTCATTATATTCTAATCAGTAATATCAAAAGTAATAACACAAAAGTAAAAGTTTTAAAGCAAAATCAAATCTTTACCTTTCAGAAAGGTAACAGTTTGTTAATGTCATTGTCCCTGACATTGGAAGTTCAGCTATCAAGATCAGGGTTGATTTATATGGGAAGGACATGAACCAATAAGAAGCTGAAAGACTGTAAAATTCAGTGAAGGCCTCCTTGTTTATATGATCACAGCAACTTACTGAAGTGAATTGTTTTATTTTAGAAATGTATAAAATACAGGATAGCAAAGTTTTATTTTTCTAAACATATTTTATTTTTTGTAGCTCCTTATTTCCAAAATAGTATGTTTTCTCCAAGTGCTTCAATCCTCTATACTTTATATTTTGTAAATGTTGAATCTTATGTAAACAGCTAAGAGTGTCTGAATGTGAGGGTGTATGTGTGTTTGTATGCAGAATATTTTCAATAAATGGAATAAAAGTAACTTTTTCTTCAATAACTTTTCTCTGTGGGCTATAGTGGACTTTTCCATTATAAAACATCTGCTTTTCTCTGTTTTTAACTGTAAACCCTTTAAAAAATAACAAAATAAATTGAGTGTACATGTAATCAAAAGTTCTTATGTAAGATTATGCAAATTTCATGGATTAGGGAAGACAAAATTCCAAAGACTCCAGGATGTTCCATTCTCCTCTACACCATGCCAAATCTCTTCGGGTCCTTTCTTCTGAAACAGAAAAATTCAAGATGGCATTCCTAATGAAACAGAGTAATTTCTGGGCTGGCTACTCCAGTTTAGAGCATTTATTTCTAGAAACTGTCAAACCACCCCTAGAATAGTATGATCTGGAGAAGAATGAAATGTTTTATTCCTGAATCTGTGAGCATTGCACTTCCATACATTTATGTCATGTTTCATTTTCACATATAAGTAAATTGTTGCATTTACTACAATACAAATGCCTATTATTTAAACATTTAAAGCCCAGCCCAGCCAAAGTATATATCTATAAGTCCACTGATTTCAGAGGGAAGACTAATTACAGTCTAACTTGATGGATTTCAGGAGTACTTAACTTTGGCAGAATGGTATCCCTTATGTTGTGTAGCTGAAACTCATTCCTAATCTTGGTAATATGTAAATATATAAGAATCTTTAATAATGTTCACTGTTAGACCTTCAACAGTTTTAATTTGTTACACTTCAGTCTTCTTTTTCTTGTTTATCCGTCATGTTTCAGTACTTAAGATAATTTATTATTGAATTGTCAATTCCAACATAAACACTACTAAATGAATGAAATAGTTCACACTTGCAACAATAGCCTTCAGATCTAGTATTTCTTATATTTTAAGCTTATAACTGAATCTTTCTTAAACTACAACCAGAATGGTTAAGTCAGCATAGAAACAGAGTCTGCATTATTTTCTGAAGCATGGGCATGCAATCTCTATGGGAGAAGGCTTTTTTTTTCTAGTCCCACTGACCCTGCTTAAAATAATTGCTTCCCTGTTGCCACTTGCAATGGAGATGACATAATACGGAGCAGAATCCCTGTGAAGGAGAGGGACAACTCCTACTCATTACTTGAATGGCCACAACAGTGGCAAATTGACTTGTCTCTAGCAAGGTTGTTAGAAGGGCAAGATGAGGCTTGTCACTTAGCATCACCACCAACTCTGTTGATACATGTATATGTTTATGTGTGGGACACCCAACTTATGGCTTAACTCCAAATTAACCTTCGGGAGCAAAAATATTACCTACATTTGTGTTTGTATAAGTATACAGTTGGGTGGTCTTGGGGAAAATGAATGCACATTGAATAAAAGAAAATAAATGAATTTCATTAATAATAAAAACAGTATTCAACTAATATTTGATTTTATACAAACGTTACTGACCCTGGTTTGTAGTAAAGAAGCTAGTAATTTATAGCTTTTGAAGATAATTGATAAAGGGTTAAGATAAGCAGTATAGTAGCATTACAATTTTTCATTGTAATAACAAAGCATTACAAATACCTTTTTATTATTCTTTATGGAAGGTTTTACAACCCATTGGCTAAATCTGTATACAGTTTCTTATATATTTCTTTAGCAAAATTAAATTGCTTAAAGACTGTGGCTGTCCCATATTTTGCAGATTTTCATTTGCATAACTAGCCAAAAGAAAGGCATAAGGGTAGTAGTAAAACATACTGTATATTATTGTAGCATTATTATTAATTAAGACTCAAGGTATATTTAAATAATACTATTAATTACTTAATATTTGTATAACATACTTGTTTTAAGCCCTTTACATTTATTATCTAATCGTAATCTTTATAACAGTACTGTGAGGTAAGTCAGTATTGTTATCCCTGTATTGCACTGAGTTAGTGGAGTTGAGAGGGAGTGTCATTCAGTTAATGGCAAGGGTAAGAAACTAGGGACTTTAGAATTCATAACTCAGCCACTATTTTAGCCACTATTTCACCAAAGTTGATATATCACAGAAGCCCCTTCAAAATCCATTGCCCCTAAAGGTATATATGAGAATCCACATGAAATATGCAGGAAGAAACACATATCTGAGGATCTGTGGATGAACTGCAGGTGTAATCTCCAATTTTCATTTTTCCACTTTGACAATCTTCATTTCTACTTTTTGTTGAAATAAAATATGTGGTTGTGTATTGACTACTTGTCCACATTATTATGAATTTAGTGATGGTCCAAGTAATCTTTTTTATATTCTCTCTCTTTTTCTTTTCCATAGTCAAGACCTATTCCCTCACATCTTACTTCTGCAGTAGCTGAGAGTATCCTAGCTTCTGCCTGTGAAAGTGAAAGCAGAAATGCTGCAAAGCGCATGCGATTAGACCGACAGCAGCAGGTACATTAATTAAGAGAAATGGGGGATGTATGAGAAATGGGGGATACAAGCTGCATGTTCAGATGTCAGTCATCTGAACAAAAAGTGTTTATAGAGATGGTAAAATCTCTAAGGAGATATAGGTAATTTTTCTCATAATTCTCTTAAAGGCTGTATTATTGTTGTTTTTCCAGCCCAAAGCAATACTGTATGAGTGATATAATATAACTAGAGGACTCTCAGCCTGTTCCTACAGTTTGAAGTAACTTTTCTAATAAAAAGCATGAAATTTCCCCTGCTTATAGTGGAGGAAACAGGAGAGAAAGAACTAGGGATAGGAAGATACATAGGCTTCAATCAACATTTGATTACCCGTGTGTTGATTTGTTTATCATTAAGGCAAATTTGTAACATGGCTGGGAGGCATTTTGTGAACATTTGAAAATAATTAAAAAATGGTTTATTATTGCTCACTGAAAGTCTCATTGTCAATATTTTATTGTAAAATAACAGAAATAAATAGGAATAGCATATAAATAAAGATATCTTCACTGCTTCAGCGGGAGTCTTCCAAGTGTCATGGAGAAAGTTGTAAAAAAAGATTACATTTTAAATTCTATTTAAATACAAAACTATACCATTGTAATGCATATGCAGCCCCAGAAAATTGTATGTATCACTCAGGTTGGCTAACAGCCAAAGGTTAAGAACAGTTACAGAATTATCTAATAAGAGCAGGCAGAGATAACAGAAAACATCTGTAAATAAAATGTTATGGTATCTGTACCTTGCTACAGGGGAAGGCCTTAAGCAGCCAACAACAAAGGGGCCAGTCTGGTTTTTTGAATCAGGGACTTCCAGAGTTTATGTGCAGTCCCTGAGAAAGGTCCTTCCTGTTTGTTGGCCAATGCCATCACTAAATTAAATTAAATTAAATTGGTGGAAACACAAGGTAAGTCTTCTCTATGGTGCCTTTTTTCCTATGGAGCTGTCTTCCCAAATGGGTTAGAATGTTTTCTGTACTGCTTGCTGAAAGCTGAACAATGAATGTATTTTTACTTGCTTTGGTTTTTAATGGATATTAAAGTATGCCGGTTGTTATTTTGTTTCTCTTGTCTCTGACTTAAGAATTGACAGAAAGGATCACGGTACATGATACAGGAATCACTGGATTTTTAGCTTATTTCTATGTAAGGACAAATTCAGATTCTTCAATGTTGTCCAGATGCTCTAGATTTTGATACCGTGCTCATGTAAACAAGCTGTGCATACTTCAGGAGTGATTAGAGCTTCAGAACTCACATAAACACAGCTCTTCTCTGCTATGCTTTTAGAAAGTCCAATCTTTTTCTGTCTGTTCTGAAAAAAGGTATTGTGGCCTTAAGAAATCCTATCATTAAGGTTAAGATTTCCTAATCATTTTTGAAAAATGCACACTAGTAAAACAACATATGTACTTCATTTTACTCTCTATGCTATCTTTGATACAGTGAAGAGAACATGAATGTATTTATTAATATATGTATATGAATATGTAAAGCAGTGCAAACCAAAGGCAACCCAAACTTAAAACAAAGCTGTACTAATATATAAATGTATATACATCTCTAGTGTAACCACATTTGACTGCAACCCAAAAGCATTTTCCATTTAAGATGGCATGACTAATCACTGCCTAGGATTTTGAAAGGAACAGTCCTGCTTGGAATGCTGTTGGCAGTAAAGTCAGCATACTGTACTTTGAAGAGGATATTGTAAAACTGGGAAAGGGCAGAAAATGACAATCCAATTTATCAACAGTCTGGAATAACTTTATCTGAGGAAATCTACTAGCTGTGGTCACTATCATTTACCTCCAGAGGCAGAGTATACTTCTGTATAAGTAGTATACTTCTAATTACCATTTGTACTAACATCCGGTTTGTGGGCTTCCTGTAGACATCCGGTTGGCCAGTTTGGGATCAGAATATTGAACTGTAGAGGCTTTTGATCTGATCCACTAGGATTACTTTCATTTTCTTGAAGATACACATATAATTTTGTCTAAAAAAAAGTACTCCATATATTCCTGTAAGATGGGCATTAGCCTCTATCCATACTGGAACTTTATTTTATGTAAGTTGAAGCATACTGAGCTCTTCTGTTTAACTAGCTCATGATCCTGTAGGGTTAATGCATTTTTATTCAGATAATGTTCCCTGAACACTTAATGTTAATGGGATTTAATGAACCAAATCAACAGCCAAACAGCATCTAGTCCCTGCTTAGAAATAAAAATTTCCATCTCTACTGATCACATCAACTCTGTAACCTTATTGAAATTGAAAGAAATTCTTGGCCACTCTGATATGCCAAAACACTCAGCTGTAATTTGAGCTTTTAAGTTTATTGCTCATAAAATTTAAACTGGGTCAAGCCGAGAAGAATTAAACCTAATGGAAAACACAACATTATGTCAAGATGGTTCTTTACTAGATTATATGCAAAAAGCAGCATTGTCCAATCAGACCAAGAACACTAAAGAAAATGCCCTCAATCCCCATCTGCACAGCTGGTCACATTCAGCAACTAATGGACTTGGATAAGAATGTGCATTTCCATTTACATCAAAAGTTGCATCTCTTTAGTTCAGTTCTTGGATCAGAATGAATGTGTTGCAAATTTGCCAAAAGCTTGTTGCTGTTCAATATTCGTACTGACATTTTTGCTATAAGATTTATAATAGCTAGAGTTGTAAATTATATCACACATACAGATACACATACAATACTTGGATATAGGTAATATTTCATATCAAGCTTCATCTCTCTGAATAACTGTAGAAAGTAGATCCCTGGATTATATAATATTAGCATTTTAAACCAATGATGGATAATGATAAAATAATTTTCAAAACAGTAAATTCCTCATGTACTAGAGGAATATCCATCTAAATTCCAGAATTTCACAAAACATTGCAATTTATCTCATACACCACCTGCATCATTAGCATTTATATATCATAACAATTTGCAATAATCTCAATAACAATGAATTTGTATGCAACTGCTCATTGCTATTATGATGTTGTTCTCATGCTGCTATGATGTTTTCTGTAATTCTGTTAGGATTGAGTGGATAGTATAGTTCATTCCCAGACCAGAATTATTTTTCTTGAGCAGCCAATATCCCACATGAGAAGAACCCATGTAATTCATTTGTTCCTCATAAAACCTTTTTAAAGAGAGGTACAGCGACGGATTCTGTGACCACTCCAGGAGATTAACCATGTGTAATGGTTAAAGATTCCTCCTGGAATTGTTGCATTAAAATTTGTACAACTAGTTACACATTTATCCTCACATTGCATCCACTTTTAAAGAAAGCCATGCCTTCTTCCTAAATTGTAATATGACATAGGAGTAAACTTTTCACAACAACATCCTGTTGCTCTCTATTTTGTAGTCTGAAATAGATTTCATTTCAATTGCTAATATTATTAAATTAGAAGACACTCCTAAGAAATAATGGGATATTTTTTATATCAAGTTAGATAATTTTATTGTAATTTCTTGTTGCGAGCCACCCAGAGTCATTGAAAGTTGGGCAGCATACAAGTTTAGTCAATTGTTGTTGTTGATTATTAGATTAATTGTGATAATTTAGATTTGGGTCACTGATTGCATTAATTTTGAATGGTGTATAGCATGAGTGGGGACCTTTGTCATTTGCTATACTGGGTTGCTGGAAGTTCAGCAATGTGTAGAATATAGTAGTC